TTTGCCTCTGGATCATCTGAATTTGAAGATTTCGTATCTGATCAAGAATTATGTCGAGACATAAAGCGTCTTGGATATTCAGGAGAACTATCAAATCCTTCCCAATTCCGAAGAAAGTTCCTTCCGTCAGTGTGGCACCTACTGTTCTCCATCCTAAACTTGTGCCTCACATCCAAGACAGCGGGAATTGACACGTACAACAATCCTTTCCTGAAATTGTTTCACGACATTGTATTCAACAGTCGGTACAACTACACGATGGTGATCTAGAACGAGTTAGCAGAACTTGTTCATGCAAATAAGTTTGCTTTAAAGGCTAGGAAATTCATTCCATTTCAATGGTTTCTTCAGTTAATCATTAGAGCAATAATGTGGTCTAACAAGGACATTCTTGCCAGACTTGATACCAGTTTAGCCCGGATTTCGAGATACATTTCCTCAGTCCGCATATGGAAGTTGAAAATGTTGACTCGATAATGAACATCCCAGATGAACTAATAGCCTCCGCTGATTAGAGTGCTCAGTGTGTTTTAGAGTATAGGAGAGTTACAAATCCTATAGTTCAACCAAAACGGTTGAACTTATCCTAGGATCACCCCATGCCTCAGAAGAGTATGGAGAGGGTTTAGATATAGGTGAGAGAGTTCAGGTACAAGGGGTACATGAATAGGGAACTAAGTAGAGAGAAAATGTAAATGAGAAAGGACTGGAGCGGGAAGACTCTAATCAGTCACACGCTACAACTGATAGTACTTCCTCAGCTTCTTCAAGCTCGGAAGATACTGTATCAAATTTGGCTATTCATTCTGGTGATGACAATGATGATGTTGATGATGCTGCTGATGATAATGATGATAATGTTGATAATAATGATGATGATCATAATGATAATGATGATGATATCTTTGCTGACAATCAAAATTTGGAAAACGTTAAACTCTTAAATCTTCAAGACATATCAATGGATTTTGACTTTGGTGAAGACTTTTCTGACTTTGCCAAAATAGATCAGTTATTGGATGCTTTAAGGCCTGTAGAGGGAGATTTAGTTGAAAATGTTGAGAGTGTGAGAGAAGGGGAAGGAAAAGAATATGGTGAGAGTATGACAAGAACTTCAAAATAGTTATTTGTTCCTAACCAAACTGATATACAAAGTCGGACAACCACATTTGTTGTTGACATTCATTCGTTGAGTGTTAGTATTAAAGAAGACATAGCTAGCCCAACTATGCATTTGCACACCCCACCTACCCACTTTATTGCTTCCCAACAAGCAATAGTTTCAATAACTCACGGGGATGAAGCTCATATGCTATCTACTTCTCACTTGGAGGAAGTAGATATTGAAATAAGTAGACAATAGCCCCTGTCTACGACTTCTTTTGTGTGCACCTCGAGTCTAGAGCCAATATACACTTTAGGTACATAAGAGTTTGGAGCATCTGTTGCTCAACTTGCTGTTCTTTGTGAACAAGCCAAAACGACTAGAGTAGAGTCATCTGACTTTCTACGAGGAAAGGCCGGAAGTCCTACCAGTGCTAACGCCTTTCCAACACTGAACATAGGCACAACAGTTTATTCAACTGTTTGTTACAACTGGTAATCTAAGTGATCCCGGTGTTAGTTTACCAGACTTTGTGTCGATGGAGTATTTGAACGGCGCCCTAAAGGCTATTCAGAATTCGTTATTTGAATAAAATATTGGTCTCAAACGTTTATTGCAGGGGAAACAACCAATGAATGAAGAAATTTCTGATATGTTGCCACCGCCTGCACCCAAACCTCAAAGGGAGTCAGAGTTATCGGTGGATGAGCTAAAATTGATGTTATATGCCAAAATGCGCACACAATAATCTTCAGATTCAACGGATGCAGATTTGGTTGGAATGTTAAGACAATTCATTGAAGAATCCCAAGCCATTAAAGCCATAGAGTTTGTCAATTTTCAAAGCATTGTAGTTTCAAGTCTTTCAAAACTTGGCACTACAATTTCTTCAAATACCCAAGCCTTGACCAACATGCAAAGTTCAATTGATACCTTGTCCAAAAGGGTTTCAATTTTGGAGAACACGTGCAAAGATCAAGCCACCTCTTTAAAACGAAGGTATGATGATCAGGATGATCCTGATCACCATGAGGGGGAAAACAAAAGGTAGAGGTTGGCTGAGTCTTCAAGAGGCAATGAAGGTATAGTTTCTGAAAGTGACAACTCTGAGGAGCAAAATATTCAAAGTCTGGTTCAAGTTGGTTTAAGTGAACGTACTACAGGCCAGAGGTAACTGAAACTACAGACCCAGTGATCGAGTCAATGGTTGAAAAGTTGGCGGTCTCCATAGGAGGAACAAGGTTGCTACTGGGTCTGTCAGCAAATGTTGGATTCAATGATGTCTTCTCAAAAGAAATCGGAGGAGTTCAAGATTATGGTGCTAACACAAAAGTAAATGATGATTTGGATGACGTATTCTTTGATTTCAAAGCAGATATGGATGGAGATGATCCCATCTTCCCTCTTCAATCCGGTCATCAAGAAATTCTTGAATCAACTCCTACTGAGTTTCAAAGTGTTTCCGATACGACTTCTATGCCTAAAGATGCTACTGAAATTTTTACGAAGAAGAATGTACCTTTTTCCATCCGTGCAAATGTTCCAGGGTTTGATAAAGCCAGAATCAGAGAACCGTATCTTGAAGACATATACTTTAATGTTTTTGTGCGTCATCGGAAAGCCTTAAGTGGAACTAAGATTCTAGGTATTCACAAGGAAACACGTGAATATTGCAAAGAATATAAACATTTCCTCAAAGCTAAACGCCAACCTATTAGCCATGTATGAACGAAGCATCGGATTGTCTTAATCAAGAGCATTTAAGCTAGAAAACTTGTTAATGTCTAGTATCCTATGTTTTATGTGACGAGACAAGATGGTTGTGTTTGGGATTTTAGCGAAGCTGATTTTCCGAATCTATTTTTAGAAGACTTAGAACATCTGTACCATGAAATCCGTAACCAGACTGTAAGATTGGAAGGAGCTGTCAGAGGTCTTGAAGCTATCAAGCGTTATCTCAAATTTCATGTCAAGATTTTTTCAGTTATTGACGTGCACATGGGCTTTGAAAGTAACCAGAAGGTTGCCAATTTGAAGAGACCAAATCAAGAGCTTGAAGACATTGATGGCTATTCTTTGTTCATAATTCTTGAAGATCCAGAGTTTGGCGTGGTATATGAGAACTTTGAAAAAGCTAAAAGATTCTTAAGATTTAGTGATCAAAATAAATACAATGATGGAACTATCAAGATAGTGAGAAGAGAACTCGAAAGCAGAAATGCTATAGATGACAAAGTTTCAGGTCATGACAAGGTAAGTCTGATAGAGAGGTACTTATTGGTCAATTCTTTGGAACTGCTTGATGAGAAATAGAGTATCAAAATGCTTTAAGAAGATGTGAGATTAATCTGGGCTTCAGAAGATCAAAATTTACAATTTCTCGTGTTTGAATCCAAAGGGGGAGAATTTGGGTTTAAGCTTGTGCTTTATTGTTCTATTCAAGTGTTTTTTCTTTGTTAATTTTGTCTTATTAGTTGTAGGTATAAATAGTTTTCTTGATTGTAATTAGTGTAAGGATTTTCATTGTAATCATTCTTGAAAGATTAATACAATTTACACTTGGCCAAAATTCTCTCTAATTGTTCATTTTTCTGCCTTTGCTATTTTGTTAATCTGATTGAAGAATCTGGGAATTATAGAGTCAACATGCCATATGGACATAATGCAAGTAGCACTTACACAACTTGCGTAATGTCCAATTTTTATATTTTTTAATACAAAAGGTGGGTTAAGTAAGTTGCGCAATCCCACCTGATTTACACAAATATTTCAGGGAATTTGTTGTAAAAGACGCATTATAAAATGAATAAGGGTAGGAAAATTGTTATTTAAGTCAATTTCCCATGAAACAAATAGAGAGGAAGAGGAAAAACCGGGGGGTAATATATATTTGAGTACTTTAATTAGAGAGCAATTCTTTAAAAAAGTTGAGCATATAAACTCAAATTTCACTTGTATGATAACTTGAATTTTGTGGTATGAAAGTGATATATTTTACGGCCTTGTGAATGTGAAATAACAAATGTTAAGGTCCTTCCTTGCTAATGAGTAATGAATGACATGGCTTCTACCAACCACGAAGCAAGAATGGCTCATTTAATCCGTTCTTCTCTCCATATTTTGTCAAAGTCTACTTTTGTAATTCCAACTTGTTACGAATAACGTTTTGAGTTCCCCAAAGGTTCATCCCATTCCAACTTCATTCATGTATTCAAAATCGTTGGTTCATGCATCCATTTTCAATCTAGATTCCAGACAGAGATAAGAAATTGGGTGGTAAAACAAACCAAAAGCCAGAAAATTAGCACAGAATTTGTCCAATACTTTATCATTTCTCAGTCTTTAATGCCTTTGTATATTGATGTTCTTGGTAACAGAAATGTGTCCATTTTGGTAGATGTTAAATCTAGACTTTGGGTGTAGCACAGTAGCACATGATATGGGGACACAATAAGGTTGTTTATGTGCATTGTTGTCACCCATAACCAGGCAAAAGTTGCTTCCCCTTTTATATTGATTTGTTTTGACATCTGCTATTATTGTCTTTCATTATCCCACCTCCTAGATTTCAGAGATAAGAGAGAGATTGTGTAGTTTGTTAAAAAGAAGAGATGCAAAGAGGTGGGGATGATCAGCACATGGTGGTGGTGGGTGCATCTTGCTTTTTAGTTTTCTAGAGAGAGAGACAGAAAGAGATATATGCAAAGTTTAGTTCAGTAATCATGGAGGTTCATCTGTCATGTCCATGTGCATCCAGCAACTTGGTCCACTTCTCATTATTTCTCATCTTCTATGCTAACGTATTAATCTAACTCTGTACTTGCATTGTCCCTCCATCTCTCTCTCTCTCTCTCTCTCTCTATATATATATATATATATGTATATATGTATGTATATACATACCGACTTATATATCATATGCATCTCCCATCTTTCTATTATCCTACATTCATTGATTTACTCAAAAGTTTTACATAATAATTTGACATAGAAATGCCCACGATGAACTGCAACACTCGAGCACCTTGCAGCACGAGATCATGGTACTTTTATGGCAAACCACCCAATCTCCTGTACTGTTTCATTGATTCATGTTAATGGATCCAAGGTTTCCTGAAATGGGTTTTTGATTATATTCTTGTTTTGATTTCAAAATCTGAAGGTCTGTCAGCGAAGATTCATTGAAGAGGTACGTGTTCTTCGCAAGCGAGAGCTGCATACAGGAGTTGCTCTCAGCCTCAGATTCCAACAGGCCTGATAACGGAGACGACGGATGGAAAGTGCTAGCTTTGGATGATGGCGTTGAGATATCAAAACGTCGGTCTGGATCTGGATCTTTTCACACTTTTCGTAGCCGGTGGTTGCTTAAATCTGTCTCAACGGAAAAATTCATCACAGTTGCCAACGCCATCGATGCTGCCAAGGTACATGATCTCTTGAAACTATCACTACAACAAAATCAGCTTTATAAAACGTCATATATATTTAAATGCCTAATAAACTATTTTATAACACTTAAATTTATATGAACAAATTAACAATTTGTGCGTCCTGTATAAAGGAGGGTTTAATACAGGATATTATAGCATATTTCGGTCATCCTAATAAGTTTGTTATGATATTTTGGAAACAATGTCTTATTATCTTTCTTATAATGCAACTACACATATTTCTATCAAAAACCTGTTTTAACATTTTTTCAAATAATGTCACATAGAGAAAGGATTATGACTTTTTATTTTCTAATAATATTATAAAAACTTGATAGGACCGTCAAAAACATCCTATCAACTTATTGTAATACATTTATGTATGTACAATTGTTCTTGCTATAAACATAAGTCCGATAAAACAGTCTTTTAAGACGTTTAGACATATTTGTGATCTTATAAAGCCGATCTTCTGGATACCCCCATCTTCGTAACCACGATTGTACTTCTTTCAACAGCAATGGGATTCAGATTTAGTGGAAGCAAGGTACATCAAAGATCTTGATGAAAACCTCAGCATCATACGACTAAGATTTGGCGAAAGCTCCAAACCACTTTTTCGTAACCGAGAGTTCATCGTGTACGAGAGACGAGAAACAATGGACGATGGGACACTGGTAATGGACCAATACGTTGTAATTAACTCATCATTTAATTCCTACAATTTGTTCAGAAAATGAAGGTAATATATATATATATATATATATACATATTCTGTTTGAAGGTGGTAGCAGTAGCTTCATTGCCAAAAGAGATAGCAGCAGGATTGCAGCCAAAACAGAATAATTCCATTAGAGGGTTTCTTGTGCAGTCGGGATGGGTTGTAGAAAAACTTGATGATGAGTCATGCATGGTCACTTATGTTGTTCAGGTATATAACTAAAATACACAGAAATTTCAAACACATTCTTCAAATTTTCTCCAAAATAGATTCCAAAATATCAATCTGATCGATATTTTGTAAGGATGTTGCAGTTGGATCCGGCAGGATGGTTACCGAAGTTCTTTGTGAATCGTTTCAACACAAAACTGGTGATGATCATTGAAAACCTTTGGAAACAAGCCCAAGCTTGCTCTGCGATTCCTTCTATCACTGATCCATCATGAAACATCAAACCACCTTTATTAATTCTGCTTCTACTTGTTCTTTTGGGTAAGAATTATCAGCAACATATATACATACAAACTTTATCCTATTTTTATGTTTTTCTAATTATATATTCTCAAACAAATTATTGATCACGTGCTTATACTCTTATAATTATATCAAATACATATTATATATATATATTGGAGTTTTAATCAAATTACCTATCATAACTCGTTTATCGTCATATTTATTTTGCCGAAAGAATTGATATGAGTATTATTTATACGATTCAGATGCTGCCTCTTAATGGAACTATTAAGAGGAAAATAAATAAACCCTACGTCAGTGTTATTTATACGTAATTTATCATATCATCTAAGGAAGATCAATAAATTTGTTATAACAAATCAATAGATATGTAGTTTTTTGCATGGTGGATGAGTGTTGAGAAATAAAATTAGTAATATATTTATTTTAATTTTTTGAATCATAAACTTGTATTTACAAAAATGACATGTTTGATTTAAAAATGTATATACTGTTTGAGTCAAAGTCATTAACTAATGAACGGTCCATCACAAAAAGAACCATAAATGTAATTGTTATTACAAATGTAATTATCAATACCAACTAAATAAACAAAACCTTCATAGGATATGATAGGACAAAATAAAAAGAACAGGACATGAGATCTATTCATTGTTTGGTATGAGGTACAATATTTATATGGCAAATATAAAAAATAAACTCACACCCTATTCATCTTAGATAAGGTTTGAACATTTGACCTTTTACAAGGCCAAAGACTCACATACCACTAGGACAAATGCCTTTTGGTTAGTATAACGGTACTTGACATGACAAGATCAGAAAAATGACCAATTTTCCTATGATGAATTTGTTATATATTTCATATATTTTGATTACTTTATGTAATTTATTAAATAATAACAAAATAAATATTTTTATTAATAAAAGATTTTCGTCAAAACGATTAAAATAACACCAAAACATGAATTTATTTAATTTTAGATTTTATTTTGTACATTTTCTATATCATTTTTCTATTAATATTTAATAAATTACATAATCAAAATATAAAAAACGTATAAAAATAATATCTTGAGAACAATGATGTGAAAGTTTAAATTAAAGAATTAAATACAATAAATAAAATTTAAAAAAATAGATAAAATGTAAAGATGGAGACATATTTGATGTTCTAGAAAAAGAATATTAAGTTTTATTTTAAGGATATATTGATAAAATATAAGTTTGTTTCACCTTATTCTATGGATGAGGGTGGGAATATACATGTACCACATTGTTTCATTCTATTCATGTCTTATCTATATAAAAGTTCTATCAAACATGAGACATTGATCCTTCTTTTGTACTATACTGTTTTGTTCTTTCAATGTACAAAACGCATCCAAAACACGTAGAATAAATCCAAATCACTAAATATTGTAAATATGTGAACATAAAAACCAAATTAGATGTATTTTCTCGACAAATTGACCCATCAAACCCTATTTGATTATTGATGGATTTATTAGTTGATGTGCTTAAACGAAAAACTATTTCAAACATCCACAGTAATTATTAAAATAAGCTTAAATGTACCTAAAAAATTTGTATATAAATTATACCTCAACCTCTAAAGATAGAGAAATTATTTAAAAAATCAAAACATATATGGATCTTGCCAAGAAAAAGTGACCGTTAGATTTTTGGATGATTATATTTTTAGGACGAATGAAATAATAACTGTTTATTTTTTAAATCCTACTTGTATTTATTTAATTGATGGATTTTTCTTGAAAAATTAAATAAATACAGTCATGAATTTCACAAGCAAGTCAAAAAAAAAAGTGAAGGGTATATATATATATATATATATATATATATATATTCTTGTCGATATTTTAATATTAAATGAAACAATTAATAAATAATAAAATGGGAAAAATTTATTTATGCAATTATCAATATATATATATATATATATATATATATAGATTCATATCTCCTTAGAAACCTAAAATTATTAAGAAACCTGGAACCATCCATGACACGATACATTACATATACATTATTAGTAATATAAACATGTTATTTATCATAAATGTTATAATGAATGTGTAATTCATAATGAATAATACGTTCATAATGTGTATATATTCATGATAAATAACACTTCTATACTAATCATGAACATTTTATTCATGATACTAGAAAGTGATACTTGATGTGTTACTTTTCCTAGATTACTAATCACTTTTACATTTATGACAAACTTCCTCCATGTATATACATTATTTGCGTATATAATTTTTGTGTTGAAGTAATTAATTACTTTGATGATGAAGGAGGAGGATATTGAATTATTGATTAAAGATATGAAGGAAGGCATGTGAGAATGAGAGTGGATGACGAAGGAGAATTATTAACATCCCTGACAATATTATAAATCCTTGCATGTGCATTTGCCACCCATTTCTTAAAACCACCTTAATTTCATTTCAATCTTTATCGACAAAATGCTCATAACTTCTATTTATTGATATATATATATATATATATATATATATATATATATAAATAGGTAGCATCACATGGGAATTATTAAGTATGTTAGTTCGAGTTTGAATTTGAGTCATTTTTCTTTTGGATTCAAATTGTATTATCTCATTAAATGTGAATTGAAATAAAGTGACAATAAATCTCAACTTCAATTTTCTTTTTTTTGACATAAACTGATATTTTTTGTTTTAGTCCCGAACTCAAATTCAATGGATAGGGAGACATTCCATTTCTTGAAACTAGTGTTCGACATCGTGCGATACACGGTGGTAGAAAAAAAAATATTGAAATAAGTTAAATAACTACGTTGATGATCACATATCATATACTAAACTAGTAAGAATCAATACTGAATTTGATATGAATCCACCTTACACTACAACAAAAATGATTTTATAGGATGCCTGGAACCTAGAAGCATCCTAAAAATATTCTTTATATTACTTAAAATAAGTTTATGGTATCAAGTTTTTAAAGTGTCATTAACTATAAATTTAGGGGACATTTTTAGGCTTTTTAACAAGTTTTTTAAAACAATTTTACAATAAAGTGTCGTACTAACTATTTTATACGACATTATTTAAAAAAAATTGTCCTATAAACAAAAATGTATTATAAGAATTTGGGTTTATATGACGCTTCTCAAAGTGCTCTGTAAAATTGTTAATAAGAAACTTTATTTTATAAACATCATAAAAAACTTGTTAAAACGTCTAAAACCGTCCTCTAAACCTATTGTAATGCTTTTAGATCATACGGTTTATATCTTGATCCTATCAATTTAAGTTTTATAAAGTATTATATTATGAAACTTAGACAATCTAGGCCTCATAAATATAAAGTTAATTTTGTTGTAGTGTTATCAACCTTGATTGTTTTTTTAATATATTTAATTAATAAGTTTTATATATCAATCATATATCAAATTTTGTAATTGACTCAAAATGATAAATAAAAAAAACATATGAGGTTATTGATTATAATCATGAGATGTATCATGATGATAATTTTATTATAATATATCAATTTATTCCATACATATATTCTCATAAAATATTTGTATTCACCAAACAAACGCAAGGTTCTTAACTACTTTTGTTTAATTGCGGGGTATTTTATAATTTGGTTACATTTGTTGTAATGTACTCATTTCGTAACTTTGACCAAAAAGCTTTTTGTTCAAACCAATAGATCTTTGGATTACAAAGAAATCGTAACAAACAGAAATCCTACAACTCTCAAGAACGAAAGGAATACAAAATAACGCTCTCAATCTTGCAAAGATATTGAAAGGACAAATGTGACAATCTAAGCACCCAATCAGGTTTAAAGTCGTTTATATACACAATCAGAATTTACACAAAATAACCCTTGATCTTTGACCAAAACTGCACCGGTACCCTTTAGCACTTAACAACTTCTATCCAGATCCTTAAACTTCCAGAAATTACAGAATCACCCTTGACAACATAATTCCCTACAAAATAAAACTAAAGCTTGTAAATAATAAGATTGAACTAGAATAAGCTATATATAACATCCCCCTCAATCTTGTCATTTAAACAAGTCAATCATCATTAATTTTGAGCATAGATAATTATATTGATTTACACCAAGAGACTTGGTGAAAATATCAGCAGGTTGTTCTGTGGAGAGAATCTTAACAATTTTTAGTACCCCAACACTAACCTTTTCTCGAACTTGATGAACATCAATTTCGATAAAAAAAAGAAAAAAAAGGTTTAATGGCGGGGACCTCATGGCCCCGTGGTCCACATTTTGTGAGCCCTACTTGTCATACCTCATAAACAAGCACCGGAAAAGACAACCTGTCCTCCCCTGGAATCGGACCTTTGCGGGCATGCCCAAGGCAAGGCATTTACGGAAGGAGGTACCGATCAATTAATTGACTAGGGTGGGATTCGAACACTAGACCTCCTAGGAAGCCAAGTGCCCTTGCCACCACTAGACCAACTAGTGATTGGTCATCAATTTCGATATATTTAGTGTGTTCATGAAAAACAGGATTATAAGTTATTTCTATTGCAGATTTATTATTGCAATACAGATTTACACGAAGTAATCGTTGATTCTCAAATTAGATATAACCTTAACAACCCATATTATTTCACAAGTAACAGATGCCATACCTCTGTATTCAGACTCAACAGAAGAACGAGAAACAATATTTTATCTCTTGCTTTTCCAAGAAATCATAGATTTCCAAGAAATAAACAATAACCGGTAACATATCTTCTTGAAGAAAGACATTTACCCCAGTCAGCATCAACATAAGCAGATAAATGGAAAGATTCTGACCTGGTAAAACTAACACCCTTTCTTGGTGAAGACTTCAAATACCTGAGAACTCTTAAAGCCAATTTAAGATGAGATTGTCAAGGTGGGTGCATAAATTAAATTAAACAGTGAACAGTAAAGGCTATGTCACAACAAATTGCAAGAAGGTAAATTAACCTTCCAATCAACCTTTGATAATTGGTATAGTCATGCAGAGAGGG